GAAAAGAGTGGCTCACTACTTATATCTAAAATTCATCAGGTATCTTCTCACATGTCTGCTTAGCATAACTGTGTGACTTTCAACCTAATCAGATCACAGTGTAATCCTACGCAATTCTGGAAAGGACTGACAATAAGCTGTTGGTTCCAAATACATTTATATGTAAGCTAAGAGACAACAGCTTACATGAAAAAATAAACATCTTCAAGTGATTACCTCATCGTCTTTTTTTTTTTTGTGGGTGTTCCAGAAGCTGTTAATACTGGTATAAAGAGGGATAAATTGACAATAGTACTGACTGAAATACAAGGCTGCTTTTAATCTAGGGCTTCTGTCTTTTCACTTGTTGCTCCTATGTATTTCTTGTATCAGGCCACTGCATCCTCCACTGCTTAAACATTTATCTCTTGTCCTGAGCTGACTCTGGTGCTAACATTTATCTGTCTTTGCTGCTGTTCAGTCAGCTAAATCAAAATATATATATATATTTTCTGGCTAAGGATAGTTTTAAAACTAACCTGATTCCAAATTCCTTTAATTAGTTATGGGGGACTGTAAACTTGGGGAATCTAAAAATGAAAAGACTGAGTCTTAAAATTGTTATTATTTCAAGTGATTCACCTCAGAATGATGTTTGCACAACAATTCATTCTTCTTTTTCTGTCTTCTTCCCAAAAATTCCAATGTCACTTCAATCCCTGGAAATAAATTAATAAATAAGTCAATTTGCTCCTTTTCCACTTGCAATAAGACAGCAGCTTGAAATATGTCCAAATTTAACTCCTTTCCTTATATGTGAACAAGTATAATGACAAATTCATCTAAATGTGAACAAAGCTTTCCATCAAAGGGATTCTCTGAATCTCAAAGCAAGGACATGGCACATTCTCTGTGGTACCTAAAGGCAAACATACCACCGCTGCCACCCTATACTGGGACTCTCTGAAGCTGTTGAGGAAGCACTGGAAGAAATGCAATCCACAGTCTCTATATCCCAGAAGATGCAGATAGACAGCCAGTAGCCAAAGTTCAAAGAGGAAACCCACGATAACAAGGCTCCATACTTCCCCTGATAGTGATGACTGGCAGAGTGCCATAGCATACCTCTTCTCTGCAGACAGATCTTGGATCCAGAGGTCCAAATGCTGCATCTGAAAGATAAACCACCATGGATTTTTAACTGCTTCCCACCCTGACTGATGACAAGCACAGGATGCTCTAATGTAGAATTTTCTCCTGAGCAGTAAGAAGAAAAATAACAAAGGATCTTTGAATAAAACTGTGTGACATATAAGCACATTCTTATCTTTTATTCCAAGAAAGGCCTGCCTCACATCTAACACCTTTATTGGCTCTGGTTGTCAAATTATTTATGCTTGCTTTAAGTTTCTAGCCTCAGTATTGTTCCTATTCCTTGTCATCCCTCTTATCTGTGGCTCTTTCAAACTCAGAGCACTGTGTTTATCCAGGGAGTGATGGGGTGCTGATATAAAGACATTTGTGATAATTAACACCCTTCTGGGTTCCTCTGTGGTGTGACAACCTGGTGCTCTACATCTGCCTGCCTTCCTGCCAGCATCTCCTGGACACAACAGTGCTGATGGGAACTTTGGAATGTGTCAGGACTCCTGGTAGCCTAATTGCACACACTGAACTTTGCATTTGGCAATAAAACCAGATGCAATTGTATTGCTTAATGTTTTCCTCCTGGCGACCAAATATTCTACAATTAGAGATAAAACCAATCCTATATAAGTGTTGGTTAATTAATAAAGGATAGATTTTTTTGGTATCTATAATTCAAACCACCAAAATACAATAGTATTAAATGGCCAAACCTATGCCTAAACTATGTGGCCGTGTATCTTTACAGATGTTTTTTGAAGTACCTGATGCTGCTTGCCGTGTATCAGAATACAGGTGGAGGGGAACAGTGTAATTTTAACCTGTGGGAGACAAGACTTATATAGTGGGGAACAGGATACACATTTGTAGATACAAAAACCCTGTTAGTAAGAGCAGCAAGGAAGTTTCATTTTCACTGTTCTTGGGAAGATTTCCATGCCAGCTAAAGGTCAGAAGGAGCATTGGCAACTTACAGCTTTTTATCTGTGTTCAGTGAAGTAATCTTGGAGGGGTTGGCAAGGTATCCATGGACATAAGACTGTGCGGAGGAATTTTCAGGAGCCATTGCAAACTACTGTAAGTCATTATTTTGATCAGCAAACACAAAGTCATAAGGTCTTATGTTTTTGAATTACTTGAACCAGATTTTGGCCTTGGATGCATTGGGATCTAAAGTATTTGTGTCTGTTCATACAAATTTTTGGAGAGCTGAATGTCAAGGTGTTTTTTATTAAGTATTAATAATAGCTATATGCATATTCCATTAGAAGTCTTCATCAAAGCCATGAGGTGTGTATCAAAAGAAAATCTCTTTCCTGGTGTCATACACGTCATGCCATGCAACCATCACCAGAGACACTGCTAGAATGGGAAATCCCCTTGGGAAATGAGTCTGGCGAGATAAAACAAAGGTGAATGATGAAACAGGGGCAAAAAGAAAGAAAAAAATAATTTCCCCTTTGCTATTTAGATACCTGCTGTAACTTTGTTCAAAGCAGCAGCTTACCAGCGGTTCCTTAGATTTCTAAAAAGTAGTGCTTTTTTCCAAGAGAAATGTAAACACTCCAGAGTGAACCATACTTACATGGGAACTTTATCTACAGGCCCTTGAAGCACTACCAACATTTCATTCTGTGTAAACAGTCAGCTAAACTGCAGATGACATGTAAAATTTGTACATATCAATCAGTTGAAGCCTGCACAAGTATACATGTATTGGTCATGTCAGTAGTCCTGTTAGCATCAGCTGAGCTTCCTGGAGACTGGAAGTGTCAAAGAATGATGCCTGGATGCGTGAAGTCTAATAATTGTGTTTGTGACAGAGGTGACAACAGTAATGTTATGCCCACCTGAACTTAATCTCCTCTTGAAAAAGAGATTCCTTAGTGAGAAACAGTTCAGAGAAATGGCAGGGTACTTATTTTTACTGAGACAGAACAAGTTAGAGAAAGAGTAAAGGACATAAGAGCCTGAAAATACTCAAGTTATAAAGAGAGAACATATTTATCAGTATGATGTTAGATGTCCCAAGAGACTAGGCCTCCTAAGTTCTTGCTTCCCTACCTCCCTATTGACTTCCTGGCAGCACTGAAGGCAAAGAAAAGCTGTACCTTAGCCTTACAGAGTTACTGTGTGAAAATGAGTCTCCACACAGTGCTGTGCTGCAGTTTCAGTCTGCGTGTGCCACTTGGGAGATGTAGGCCAAGTGCATGTCAGGAAGATGGCATCAGCCTCACTGTCCACAGATGAAATGCATTCAAATCCAAAAGTAAAATGGAGAAACATATTCAACTTTTCCTAGAAAAATGGGGAAAAAATGGTGGAAAGGGAAATTTAGACATTCTGCCAGAATACAGACAAAAGTAAATATGGAAAAATAATACAAAGGAGCAGAAAAATTACAATGCTTGGCATGTTTAAAGTCAGTCATGCTGGTTTAACTGATGAAACCACTTGTAAGGAGCAGTCCTACACTGCTGGAAGGTGACAAGATGACCTAGTAATTTCTTTCCACTTGCACATTCTTTGGCACTAATCTGTGCTACTTCACACCAATTTTAGACATCAACAAATTTTATTGCTCATTCTGAGACTGCAAGTGAGAGCAGAACTGAACAACCTGACCCTCTGATAACCCATTTGCTAATACAGAGTTATGTGTGTGATTTTCCAATTGCTTGTTTTCTGGACAAAAGGTGTTTCTTTTTAAAAGCTACAATCGCCACTAAGAGTGGGTAGCTCATATCACTACATCAAAACCAGACATTTGTCACACAAAAAAAAGAAAAGGTTACTGCTGCTGGTAAATGTCTAGGAAAGTCAGCTACACATGTGTTTTCATACCATGTATGAACCAGGTCCATATGGGGCTTCACAAATAAGGTAAAAATGTGGTAAGGGGAAAGAAAGTAATAACTCTGACTGTCCTTATATTCCACTATCTTTAGGTGATTTCTTATCCCTAAGGATACTGTGCAAGTGACAGGTGTAATCTGCCCTATATAAAGCTCAGTCTGCTACAAATGGCTGTTTGAAGGGGCAGTGTAGGAGTGTATGAATCAGATAATGTCAGATGAATGCCCAACGGGAGTCAGAGCTACCGGACCATTTTTCAGTTCTTATTTTTAGCAGGAGTCTGTTCTTTCAGCAGCAGTTGATGGCTGGTGGCAAACTGATCTGTTTGCGTCATGCAGATTCTTCCTGATCATTTTTATTTCTCTGAAATAGAGATAAGTTAATGTTCTTCATACATATGCTAAGAAAACACCAGTATTTACATTGAATTGTCTTAAATGAATATACGGCACAAACGAAAGATGAGTTCTCATTAAAGTATTAGAGCCCGCCCAAAGTTATGTGGCATCCTACATTGTAACACATGGCAAGTTGGAACATTTTTTCCTCATGCTTGGTTTCTCCTGCATTTGCATTCCTACCTCAAATACACCAATTGCCTAGGGCTTTCCTTGGATGATGAGAACACTTCAGCCATTTTAAGGATTTCTGTGGTCTCTGGAGACTTCCTACTTGAGGCCAGAAGTGAGAAAGAAGATATGAATTCCACATTCAAACCTGGGGATTGAGAGGTGGCTAACCTATAGTGCAATCTGCTCCCATGTGAGTAAGAGAGGTTGGGCAAAATATGCAAAACCACCGTATGGCTACTGCCTGAAAAGGACCCCTTTGTAGTCTCAAAGCATATATAGATTTAGTGCCACTGCAGTCTTTCCCAGAAAAGGACACATCATCTGTCAGAGAGATCATGTATTAGAAAGTATGAGAATTTGGGTTTATTTTCACATTGACACAGGAGATAAGGAAACTCCACTTACCAGCTGAATCTGATCTCAGAGATACCAGAGATGTCTGTTCAGGAAAGAAACTTCAAGATCAGACTGAGCTGACAGCAATTATATCCACAACTATGTCCACCTGCCTGTACAGTAACATGATTTTTCTGACATTCTTCCTTTTCTTTGTTTCTGTTCACTACAGATGAGCAGAAATTAAAAAAAAAAAAAAAAAAAAAAAAAGTTAAAAAAACCTAGGCAAAAATTGGAAAAAGCATTTTTGTCGAAAATTTGTTTCAAGAATTTCCTTCTGATGAAAGATTAAAGCCCCAAGTTGGAAGGGAAGGAGAGGTGAAAGAAGTCATATTTCAGCTGCTGAGATCTGAAAATATTTTCATGTTCTGAGTAAAACATTGAAATAGCGACATTCAGACAGATAACGTTGCTTTTTTGAAAAAAATATGTTCAAAATTCAGTTGAAGTCTTTCAAGTAGGTCTACAGCAAATGTCAGGATTTTATTTTCTTTTCTTGGAGGAGAGAGAGTTATTATTGATCACAACTTGCAATATCTTCATGTATAAATCATTTTGTATATTCTGTCATATAGCTAGGGATTTAAACTACTGGAAGAGTTCTATAACTTCCTACTCTCCTCCATTTATGAAGCTGAGATGGATATAAAACATCTAAGACAGTATGGCACACATGCTCAGAAAAATTATCCTAGATTTCAGAACTAGTCAGAAAATTAATTGAAGTAATTGCTGACTAATATACAACTTGATAGGAATAACCTATCTGAAATGTTACTAAAATATGCCAACTGATTTACTTGTCAAGTACCTGAGCATATTAAAAAGGATTAAAAAAGTCAAAAGTAACTCTGTATGTTCACTTATTATTACATTTTGAAGATTATTAGAGTCCAGAGGCTGCCAAATCATCATGAAGAAAAGATTATAGTTTTCCAACCATTTGTTTTGTGTCACTCTTGCCATACAAGTCACAGTCTAACCCCAAAAGTCTGGATAAACTGTCTCTGATTACCTCCCACAGGTGAGACTGATACACTCTTCTCATGATAGGCACACTCATTTTTTCTCTATGAACGATGCCATTAGGAGATGATTTTGGGAAGAAGCAAGCTCATAATTATTTTTAACAGAAATACAGTATTTTTGCCAGATATTAAAAGAGGCGTTTTCCTCACCAGCTAACGTCTGAGTAGTTTCTTCAGTAACAGTTGCTTTTAATAATAATTACCTGAGTTCAGGGTATATGTTATGCAACAGAACAGATAAGAACTAGATTAAAACAAAAAAAATTTGTGCAAGATCAATTTACACTGTAATGTAGTTTTTCCAAAGTATTTGTAGTGAATTGTGTGCAGTCCTTCATTAACAGATAAGCTGTTTTCCTTGTCCCAAGGAACCTACAGCCTTATTGTAGCATGTTAAAATGTAGGATTAAAGACCAAAATAAGTAAGGATGTGAGATTATTACTGTGGATTATAAAGAAGAGAGTTATCTTGGAGTTACATGTTTGGGGAAGACTGTAGAGTGAGAGAGAAAAAGGTCTGACAGATGAAAGCAGAAAAGATGTTCTAGCAGGATAGAAGGAAGGAAGCAAGGCAGATAAAAGCAGCAGGAAAATGAAAGGATTGGGAAGAACAAAAAGAACAAGAGAAGGAAGATAAAAGCAGGGGTGAGGTGATGAGATATGCAAAATTCTACGCAGACACTTATAAAATTAAAAAACACACCCTGGTGTGTACAAAACTTACCCACACCTTTTTTTCACGCACAGATCACTTACTCTACCTGATAGTCTCCTAAATATGCACTCCATTTCACAAATATAAAGGCATATAAAATCTACACCAAATTAACTTTCAGTCTAAATCAGATACAACCTTCATCTGAGCAGCAATTTATATACACATTGAATTTAGTACCATGAGATATCACATCGATTATTAGTAAGGCTATGCACCATCCTGAAGCTTGATATGTAAATAGCCACAGGTTTAGACTTCTATGTGTATGCTTTCCACTTTATTTCCAGTCTAGTGCTATGCCAATTACTAAGAACCTAGCTACCATTAAAAAATAGAAGTGCACTGATGGCACCCAGTGTGACACAGCACATGAAAGTGTCATCATGTGAGATCTTTGGGTGGTGAAAGAAATACAGTGATAAGGTCAGGGAGCGGTGTTTGGGAGGCACTGCTTTCATGTATACTCAAGGCTGCAGATATTAATGTTTGGGTAAGGGTTTTCTTTTTGCTTCATTTGGTTTGGTGGTCAAACCCATCTTGCTCTGAGGGCCAACTGGTGGCAGAACACCAATAGGAAAGAAATTACAACAGTGAGCTTTGAGATCATATTTGCGATGTAACATAACAAACGGTTTCATAGCTTGAGTGTGGGGAAAGTCAACTACTAGAAAAAGATGCCTTGAGCAGGAACCCATCATTCTGGCTGTGTGGATGTGCAGTAAAATCTGAGAAGGGATTTGAAAGTTTATATAAATGAGTGTGGTGAACACTAATACAAACACACGTTCATGTGGGTGTACACAGTCTTCTAGGCAGAGACAAACATACATGTAGATGTAATAGTTAAAAGAGGGAGTGATAATCATAACCAAGCACCTACACACTTTAAACCTAGGAATATTTTTCATCAGATGGTTATAGCTCTGAGTTCTTCATTTTTACTGTTAATGCATGTATTGTTTGCAGCAGGGTGATCTTGCACTGGAGAAGTTTATCCTGATCTACTGTATCCATGCAGTCTAATACAGAATGTGATTGTATGAAGAGGTAATATCCCGCCCAAAAGATTCCTGCCTCATTTAGAATATCTGTTTTCTGCTTCCCAGCATAAGGAGACTAAAGTATAAATAGAGATGGTCAGCTTCTCAGGGCCACTCATATTTCATGGGTCTGATCAATAAATACAGTGTTTAATTCATCTAATAAATCCTGCCACACTTAACCTGGGTTTGCACTTCTCTCCTAGCTATAGAAATACAACAGTATCCTCAATGTCACTGTCTGCTGACTCACTACCAAATAAAATTGTCCTGCTGGATGACTCTGACCCTTGGACCATTAGTGGGTCAGCTCTGTAGCGGAGGAGGAAGAGGAGAACGCTTACTGTGAAGCACAGTGGGGAGAACACAAGGGTGGTCTCTCCCGCTTTCAGTACAGCAACTCCTGCCTGTTGACTGAACCCTGGATGTTTGCTGAACACTTGCTGGAGCCCTGAATGTTTGCTAAGCATTTGCTGAAGCCTTTGCCACAGCCTGGTTAGGATGGCTGGCAGCACTGCTTGCCTGTGCTGGGGAAGGGGGAAAGGACAAAAAGCAGTGCTGGGAAAAGGGTTACATCAGGAATGCCTTGTGGGAAGATGCTCCTGAGGGCTGCGGTCCTCCTCTGCACAGAGAAGGTGAGGGTAGATGGCTAGTCCTTTCCAGACTTACAGACCTCTGGTTTCTTTCTGGACTTTTTGCCACAGAGATGGCTTTAAATGTCATCAGTCTGGTGTATGTTTTTCATGCACTTACAACATTAAAGGTGCCAGTGTTACGTACTGTTGCTATGTCTGCTCAACTGTAGGGCTTTTCCAGCAATTAGTGGGGTGCCTATCACACTGATTACAGGCACTGTCAAGTTTGCCGCTTCCCTTCATTATGCACATTGACTCTGTTACCCCAACACCAGTGGCAAAGGAGATAACATCACATACTTGTTCTCCCTCCTGTCACCACATCCCAGATTTTGACAAGCAGCTTGGCATGCTTAGAAGTGATGATGGATAAATTTTGTTGAACAGGCCAGAGTAAGGACTGCAGCAGTAGACATTAAGAGGTACAACTGCAGGAGCAAAAGGGATCTTATTTAATCTGTATCAGATATCGTCTCCCATGGACAGCCTCACTGCTTTTTGGAAGTTTTGAGTATGTCCAGAATATCTATTTGGAGATTAAGAAGAAATATGTGGCAGATAACCTTATCTCCAAGCAAGTAAGAGATGCAGAACCATGAGACGTCTGTTGCAGAAACAGCAAAATTGATCTAATGGCTGACCACGGTGAAGAGCTTGGTACTAGAAGGTAGGAAAGGAGTGTTTCTATCATAACATCCATAAAAATTTCCTTATTATAAGTCCAAAAATTAGTCTGGAAAATTTAAGATTCAGGCAGCTGCTCCTCTGAGGAAATAATTTCTTGAAGACTTTGTGGTATCTTTTTAGTGGTAGTGGTTACACCACTAAAAATGACAAATACATCTGAAAACCATTGGCACTGCAGCCTGCACTGTCATCCTGCATGTCCAACAGGTTTCATGTAAATGCTTGAGGAGGGAAGTTTATAGGTTTCTTTAAGTAGTGCTTTGTCTGACTATTACCCATTGCTGCTCTGTGATCTGTCAGAAGATTTGTCTAATATTGCATCATCTTGCTCAAGTAGTATCATGTTGCTGGGTTAGTATCTCGAATAGCATGTGGATTAAAAGCTGCAGAAAAGTCTAGTGAATAAAATGACATTGTCCATAGCAAAACCTCAAAATAACCCAGCAATGTGCGCTCGCAGCCCAGAAAGCCAACTGTACCCTGGGCTGCAGCAAGAGATATAGGCTGAGGGAGGGGACTCTCCCCCTCTACTCATGAGACCCCCCCCCCCGCAGTGCTGTGTTCAGCTCTGGGGTCCCCAGCATAAGAAGGACATGGACCTGCTCTAGCGAGTCCAGAGGAGGTCACAAAGATGCTCAGGGGGCTGGAGCACCTCCCTTCTGAGGACAGGCTGAGAGAGTTGGGGTTGTTCATCCTGGAGAAGAGAAGTGTCCAGGGAGACCTTACGGTGGCTTTCCAGTACTTAAAGGGGGTTACAGGAAAAATGAGGAGGGACTCTTTCTCAGGGAGTGTAGTGGTAGGATGAAGGGTAATGGTTTTAAATGTAAAGAGGGTAGATTTAGATTAGCTATAAGGCAGAAATTCTTCCCTGTGAGGGTGGTGAGGCACTGGCGCAGGTTTCCCAGAGAAGCTGTGGCTGCCCCCTCCCTGGAAGGGTTCAAGGCCAGGTTGGACGGGGCTTTGAGCAACCTGGTCTGGTGGAAGGTGTCCCTGCCCATGGCAGGGGGGTTGGAACTAGATCTTTAAGGTCCCTTCCAACTCCAACCATTCTATGTTTC